ACAAACTGTAGGCACAAGTTTGTTGACACTATCTGTGGAAATGGGGGATGGTGCCGACAGCAATTGCATTCGATGATGGACAAAGAACTTCTGTGCCTCTGAGTTGTAGTGTGTAAATGTCAGAACCTCCACATTTATGTGAGAGAGGAAAGCCCCAAGAGGGGATTCGGTCACATAACAGACTTCACAGAGTGGACTCCCAGAGGCCATGGAGCGGAGGGGTCGGTCTTTGCGTGCTGAGGTGGAGAGATGGCCACGAGGTATCGCTGGGTGAAAAGGCAAGTGACAGAACTAGAGGGACAGAGCAATCCCCCTCAAGTGAGAAAGGGGAGAAAGAAGAAAGGAAGGGAGGAAGGGAGGGGCAGGCTAGAAGCAATGAATCTGGGGCCTGCCAGCTGAGCCATCTGCCTGTGGTCAGGGTGGCTGCCGGCCCAGGCTCAGGGCGCCCATCTGCATGAAGGAAGGGAAGACTCAGGCAGTCTCCAGCACCCACAGCACCCACGGCCCAACCTCATTCCACCCCCACAGCTCAGGGCACGCCTGTCACTGACTTCCTTCCTCCTGAAACCGGCCCACCTGGGGCTATCGGCCCATCCCCAAACAACTAAAAGGCTCTGTGGGAAACGAGGTTGGATTCCCTCTTTTGAGCTCTGGGACAGATTCTGGAACCATGCACCAAAGGTTCAAGGTGGTTCCATTTTACCTGAAGCAACGTGTTGCTGAAGATCCTACACAGTTCAATATACACATTTATCAAGACGAATCACTTAGGCGTGTGTGTGTGTGTGTGTGTGTGCGCGTGTGCGTGTGCGCGTGCGCGTGTGTGTGTGTGTGTGTGTCATATCTTTCCACTTTAAGAGCTTCTTTCATCTTCTCCACGACCTTGTCTTCTACCTCACAGATTCTCAGACGCTGGGACAGGGCTGCCTGGATTCAAGATGCTGAGGATGCAACTGCGGCAACAGTTTGCTGACTGTTTGCGTGGCGCCGCCGTGTGGCCATATTGTGCCATGTGTCCACATGCCCAAGACCTGTCATCTTTAAGATCACTCCTCCAAGTAATTTTTTAAAAAAAATTTGAAGTCATATTATCTTCAAAAATTGTGCACAAAGTGAGGTTTTTTGAGAAGCTTTTGACATGCAATTTTAAATTCACATAATTTATGCCTATAGAAAATAGCACACCAAGAGGAAGGTGCTTCCTGGAGAAAGGCCTGGAGGAGGGCGCAGGTCAGAGCTGGGTGTTTGCTGGGAGGCTTTAGAGATCCATGGCTTAGATTATGCATTGCTCTTAGAGGAAAAGCTTTTATGAGAGATGGGGATGTTGAATTCCAAAGAAGAGAGTGAGCTCTATGTTGATGATGCTATGACAGCCAGGCTCCCTGGGCAGGTGTGGGGCCTCCCAGGGCTGGGGCAAGTACAGCCGAGATCAGCCTGTCTGAGCCTCTGAGAAGGGACCCTGCTTTCAACTCCCCTCACCTCCTGAGGTTGAGGCAGGACCAGGATCCAGAAAGGCTCAGGGGACCCAGAATAGAGGGCATCTTCCCAGGTAGCTCCAGGAGCCAGGACTCCACTGGGAAGGCCAGGTCTAGCACCGCAGGCTAACGTGCAGCAGGGCCCTGGGCCCATCCAGGAGGGTGGACCTGAGTGCGGCCTCTAGAGAAGCACGCGGGCCGCCACCCAGAGCTCATGGGTGCCAGGAGGGAGACACGGCGAGCAGGCCTGAAGGAACCTCCAAGGCGCAGAGTGAATTTCTGCTGTTTAAGCCACCCAGTTAGGCATTTTGTTTTAATAGCCCAAGCCCCCTCCTCTCCCATCACACACGTTTCCTTATGTATGTATATAAATATAGAGAGAAATTTGGTCAGGCATGGTGGCTCATGCTTATAATCCCAGCACTTTGAGAGGCCAAGGCAGGTGGATCACATGAGGTAAGGAGTTCGAGACCAGCCTGGACAACATTGTAAAACCCCATCTCTACTAAAAATGCAAAAATTAGCCATGCTTGGTGGCATGTGCCTGTAATCCCAGCTACTCGGGAGGCTGAGGCAGGAAAATCGCTTGAACTTGGGAGGCGGAGGTTGCGGTGAGCCAAGATCACACCACTGAACTCTAGCCTGAGCAACAGAGCAAGACTCCAACTCAACTCATAAATAAATAAAGGGAGACATATTTCTCCCTATGTTTATAGTATTTATATATATGTTATATAAAAATATGACATATATTTATATTTATAAAGCAATCTATATATTTAATGTTAATACATTAAATATGTTTCATATATATTATGTATATATATGTATACACACATATATATATATACATACACATATAAAAAGGAATTTATTTCTTTGCTGTTCTGACACTTCCCTGCTCTTCTTTTCCTTGATGTTTCTGGGCTTTATTTCTGATTCTTGGAGACAGCCTCTAATCCTTAGAAATTCTTGGGTGAGAGACCTGTCTGTTACTCATGGTGCACCCCCCCAGGGTCACACCTGAGTTCATGCTAACCAGATGACTTGGCCAGGGGACCAACCACACCAGAAAGACCAACCACGTGATTCAAAGGTTGCAACTTTGAGCCACATGGTGTCAGTCTGACCTCCAGAACAGAACTGGGGGGCTAGAGATGGACTCAACTGCCTGGCCAATGGTTGAATCAACCAGGCCAATGTAATAAAACCCCTGGACATGGAAGCCCAGGTGAACTTCCCTGGTTGGTGATACACATCAGTGTGCTGAGAGGATGATGCATCCAGAGGACACAGAAATGTCATCTTTGGGACCCTCTCAGAGTTTACACTATATGTCTCTGCTTTTGGCTGGTCTTAACTTTTGTCAGTGTTTTTCTCATATAAAACAATAATGAAAGTATCATGCTCAGCCGGGAACAGTGACTCATTGCCTGTAATCCCAGCACTTTGGGAGGAAAAGGCCGGCAGATCATCTGAGGTCAGGAGTTTGAGACCAACCTGGCCAACATGGTGAAACCCTGACTCTACTAAAAATACAAAAACTAGCCAGGTGTGATGGCACATGCCTGTTATCCCAGCTACTTGGGAGGCAGAGGTTGCAGTGAACTGAGATCATGCTACTGCACTTCCGTCTGTGTGACAGAGTGAGACTTCATCTCAGAAAAAAAAAAGAAAAAGAAGAAAGTATCATGCTTTTCTGAGTTCTTTGAGTTGTTATAGAGAATTATCAAACTTGAGAGTACTGTGGGAACCTCCAAATTTGTAGCCAGTTGTGAGAAGTACATGTGGTCTGAGATTACCCAAACTTGTAGCTTGTGTCTAAAGTGAGGGCAGCTTAGTGAGGGCTTGTGGCCTCAACCTGTGGCATTTGATGTAACATCAAGGAGTTGACATCAGAATTGTGTCACACAGGCCAGGTGTGGTAGCTCCTGCCTGTAATGCCAGCACTTCGGAAGTAAGAGGATCTCGAACTCCTGCTGGGATCACAGACATGAGTCACCATGCTCAGCCACCTTTAGAGTTTTCTTACCACCTGGTTTTCCTCTCTCAATATCTTTCCCTCATTTCCTGCTTTAAAACTCTAGCTTGGGGGCTGAATGTGGTATCTCATGTTATAATCCCAGCATTTTGGGAGTCTAAGGTGGGTGAATCACTTGAAGTCAGGAGTTCGAGACCAGCCTGGCCAATATGGTGCAACCCTGTCTCCACTAAAAATACAAACATCACCCCAGCATAGTGGCGTGCACCTGCAGTCCCAGCTACTCAGGAGGCTGAGGTAGAAGAATAGCTAGAACACAGGAGACTGAGGTTGCAGTGAGCTGAGATCATGCCCCTGCACTCCAGCATGGGCGACAGAGTAAGATTGCATCTCAAAAAAAAAAAATACAAAAACAAGCAAACAACCAAAAAGCTTTAGTTGGGATCAGCCTTCTCTTCTATTTTTTTTTTTAAATAGATGTAGATGCTATGTTGCCCAGGCTGATCTCAAACGCCTGGGCTCCACTGATCCTCCCGCCATGACCTCCAAAAGTGCTGGGATTATACGTATGAGCACTGCACCTAGCCTTATGGTTTTTTTTACATAAAAAATAATACAGGATTGTCTTCCAGAGCTAATAAATATGTTCAAATAACCACAACCCCATTAAGGAAAAATGTTACTTCACAGCAAATAAGCAATCTAAGACCATGAACATGATCACGGTCTCTGTGAAGGTGAGAAAACTTGGTCTTTATTACATTTCCCTAGAAGATGCACTGTACTGTTCTCTTGAGACCACACATCCCCTTAAAAGTAACATACAAACATGTCAATACAAGGCCAAAAATTACATATGAATTCTCACATTTCAGAAACATACACTTAACATCAAATAAAAATGTATTTTTCAAGAATTTAGGGGAACTGCCATGTAGCTATAAGGGTAGTATATTAAATAAGTATCGTAGATAAAAAGAGTGCTTCCTTCAGCACCACAGGTAATAACAGATACAAACATTTAAAGATAAAAGATTTAGGATTAAAAGAATTCTCTCTTAAAAAGGAAAACAAAATTATATTTTTGTGTATATAACAGCTATAGCACCCATCATACAACTTTATAGGAACAGTATCTATTAAAAATACCAGGATTTCCAAACTATTTAAAATAAATGTAGTAATAATTCTGTGCTCATCTTTTTCAAATAAACCAATAAAATGTATAGTATATATTAGACAAATTAGTATATATCTAAGACATGTTAAAAATCACAACTGAATTCTCACAATTCAATAACAAACACTAAATAGCAAATAAAAATTTCCATTACAAGAATTTAGGGGAACTACCACACAGCTATAAATATAATAGATTATTATGTAAGTATCATGGATGAAAAGAGTGCTCACTTCAGAAGCACATAAATAATAGATAAAACAATTTAAAGATAATAGATTTAGGATAAAAATTCTTTCTTAAAAATGAATATTATATTTATGTACATATGACAGCTATAACTCTCATCAAAAATCTCTACAGGAACAGCATGTTTTCAAAAGTACAATTTCCAAACTATTTGAAATAAGCATATTAATAATTTGATGGTCAACATTTTCCAAACAAACCAATAAAATGCACAGTTATGTGTTAAGCATATCTGTTACAATCCTATGGCACTCATATTTTACAAATAATTTCGTGCCAATCTGAGCACCTGTACTGTGCCTTCAAATGCTCCTGAACTGTGGCAACCAAGTCCATAGGAAACAGAACCTCCAGAATCCACCCCAGGGAGGCTGGAATTCAGCAATATAAAAAGGGAGGTGGAGCTGCAGGAAGCGGTGGAACCAGAAACACCCCTGGTTTCTCACTGTCCTCCACAGAGGCTTAGAAGTACCCCCACCCACCCCCGCTCCTAGGAGGACAGCGTGATCACTCTAGTCAGCTCTTCAGAGCAATTGATCAATCCAATTTTATCTCCTGCCCTTCATTCTCTACCCTGCTTCTGAACCATCGTGTTCAATTGTGATACTGACACTTCGGTGACCCTGACTCCAAAACTCACTGAATACACCCATAGCCAGCCCCAGTGATCTGCTTCAGAGCAAGGACTTTGGGTGGGTCTGCCCAGGGAGTAGTGCACCCTCAGAGAATGTGGCTTTGGACTTCATTACACCTGGGGCCTTTTGTGTCCCTTAAGATTACTGTAAGCATGCTAGCTCTGTTTCTAATGTGACAACATCATGAACCACCAGTTCAGAAGCCTAATCCATAATCTCACTACCTAATGGAGGAAATCTCACTTCCTCATGCTGAGTCCTCAGTGTGATTAGCTGCACAAGATGTAAATCAAATCTTCACTGAATTCTCTACCTGCATTGGTAACTCAAGTGCTTCAATCAGAACGAGCCTCCGGAACTCACAGCAAATTATGATGATTTTTGAGACATTGTCTCATACTGTTGGCTAGAGTGCAGTGGCAGGATCAGGGCTCCCTGAAGCCCCAAACTCCCAGGCTCCAGAGATCCTCCCTCCTCGGCCTCCTGAGTAGTAATGAATAGTGAGACCTCCCACATTGCCCAGATAATTTTTTTTTTTTTGAGACAGAGTCTCGCTCTATCACCAGGCTGGAGTGCAGTGGCACAATCCTGGCTCATGTAACTTCCATTTTCCTGTATCAAGCAATTCTCTTGCCTCAGCCTCCTGAGTAGCTGGGACAATAGGCAAGCACCACCAGGCCTGGCTAAGTTTTTGTACTTTTAGTAGAGACGGGGTTTCTCTCCATTGTTGGCCAGGATGGTCTCGATATCTTGACCTTGTGATCCGCCTGCCTCAGCCTCCCAAAGTGCTGGGATTACAGGCATAAGCCACCGCCTGTAATTTTTGTATTTTTGTGGAGAGGGGATCTCACCATGTTGCCCAGGCTTGAAACCGGATCAAGCAATTGGGTTCCTCAGATTTCCTAAATAGACCACAATATTCTGCCTTTATCCTGAAGGACGCAGATGTACCTTCCCTCAGACTGACGACCTCAGGCCTCCACAGCCCTGGAGCTCTAGGAAGGAGGGTGCAATCTCGAGCCCACACCCAGTGCTCTGGGTCATAAGCCTGGATATGGAAAAACAAATGTCCCTTGAGAAGATGGGGACTCCCCAGGATACCCCTCCCTCCCCTCATCCAGCCTCCAACCCACCTGATTCCTTCCCACCTCCTCCACCTCCCCATGCTTCACCCACCTCCTCCAACTCCTCCAGGGAAACCCGAGTCCTCCAGCAACATGGAACAAACAAACTGGAGTTGAAGCTTATGGAACAAGGGTCGCTGGGAGCGGTTCTTCTCATACAGGAAGTACAAGATGTCTTGTTTGGGGGCCTGGTTATCCTCCTCCCTGTCATTGGCCAGGTAGCTGGGGCAGAAATCGAGTTGCTGCTCAGGGGCACCACCAGGAGAGATCTCCGGCTGAGGTCAGCTTCCCAGAGGCGAGGGCAGGGGACCATCCTCAGCTCAGGACTGGCACTCACTCGGCAGAGAGCCATTCCTTCCTCAGGAGGGCCTTTCTGGACAGAGATCACCTTCAGGGTGGAGACAAAAACCCAACTGGTGGCCGAGAGTGGTGGCTCAAGCCTGGAATCCCAGCACTTTGGGAGGCCGAGAAAGGAATATTGCTTGAGGCCAGGAGTTTGAGACAAGCCTGGACAACATAGCAAGACCCTTGTCTCTATTAAAAATATAAAAAAACTGGCCGGGCACAGTGGCTCATGCCTGGAATCCCACCACTTTGGGAGGCTGAAGCGGGTGGATCGCTTGAGGCCAGGAGTTTGAGACCAGCCTGGTTAATATGGTGAAACCCCATCTCTACTAAAAATACAAAATCAGCCTGGTGCAGTGGCACAAGCCTTAGTCCTAGCTACTCAAGAGGCTGAGGCACAAGAATTGCCTGAACCCAGGAGGCGGAGATTGCAATGAGCCAAGATCAGGTCACTGCATTCCAGCCTGGGAGACAGAGCAAGACTCTGCCTCAATAAATAAATAAATAGGCCAGGTGCAGTGGCTCATGCCTGTAATCCCCACACTTTGGAAAGCCAAGGCAGGTGGATCACAAGGTCAGGTGATTGAGACCATTCTGTTTAACATGGTGAAATTCCATCTCTACTAAAAATACAAATATTAGCTGGGCATGGTGGCATGTGCATGTAGTCCCAGCTACTCTGGAGGGTGGGCGGGAGAATTGTTGAACCAAAGAGACAGAGGTTGCAATAAACCGAGATTATGCCATTGCCCTCCAGCCTGGGCAACAGAGTGAGACTTCATCTCAAAAAAAATTTTTTTTTAATAAATTAAACAAATGAATAAATAAATAACTGTCCAGGCGTGGTTGCACGGCCCTATAGTCTGAGTTAATCAGTAGGCTGAGGTGGGAGGATGGCTTGAGCCCAGGACATGGAGGCTGCAGTGAGCTATGATCTCACCACTGCACTCCAGCTTGGGGGACACAGCAAGTCTCTGTCTCAAAAATAAATAAATAAATAAATAAAATAGGATACATTGACGTTTTGCCAAATCCTGCCTTCTACAAGCATCTAGTCTAATGGGACTGGGAGAAATCAGGGCAGATCACCTAATCCCAGTGTCACATTATAATAGGACGTAACTGGAGTATTGTGAGCTTGCAGAGGTGGGAAGATGAGGGCAGGCACCACAGAGACTGTGGGGTGAACTGACTTCAACGAATGGGTCATCTCTTCAAAACCACGTGTGCAGGACCCCAGATGGAAAATGCAAATGCAAAGTTGAGTGGTGGACATTTGGAAGGAGCGGTGAAACCGAGCCAGGAAACACCAAGAGGATGAGCCAGTTTGGCTGTAGAGAGATTGCAGAGAGGGTGGAATTGGCACTGTGGACCTGGCCTCGATTTAGAAAGACATCAGCCAGGGAAGCTGTTCAGGTGGCCAGTGGGGGCATCAGACCTGTGCTTTGGAGATATGTTCAGGCTGCACTAGGAAGCCCCCTGGCTTGAAGAGAGGCTCCAGGAGGCCCCAGCAGGGAGCACTTGACAGTGGATTTGAGTGATGTGAGGGGACCTGAACTGTGGCCTCTGTCATGGGAACCCAGAGGAGGATGATGAACAGTTGCATTTGGGGTTGATGTGTGAAAGAGAGAGAGACAGAAGATCCAGAAATGGCTGTTGCTGGGGAGAGCGTTGTGTCCGTTCCTTTTCCTCTTCCCTTAGGAGGGGATTATGCTTCCTTTTGTTTTATGCTTTTATTTGTAAACTGGCTTTTGAGTTTGTTTGTTTGTTTTTGAGAAAAAGTCTCAGTCTGTCACCTAGGCTGTAGTGCAGTGGCTCAATCTTAGCTTACTGAAAACTTCGCCTCTTGGGTTCAAGCCATTCTCTTGCCTCAGCCTCCCAAGTAGCTGGAATTACACGTGCACACCACCATGCCTGGCTAATTTTTGTATTTTTTAAGTAGAGACAGAGTTTTGCCATGTTGGCCAGGCTGGTCTTGAACTCCTGACCTCAGGTGATCTTCCCACCTTGGCCTCCCAAAGTGCTGGGATTACAGGCGTGAGCCACCTCACCCAGACTGAGTTTTTTTTTTAGATGGAACAGTCTAATAATACCTTTAGTATAACAGTATAATAACTATAGCACATAGTATAATCCTGTCTTTTTTATACACAGAGTAAAGAGGACAAATAGGTGAAAGTTTGTCCTCTTTACTCTGTGAAAGTTTCAAATCTCACTTCCCCTGCTGTCCCAGGGTGTCGGATATTGATGGATAGGAGGAAGCAAACCACTCACAGAGCCAGAAGAAATGAACACGTCGGTATTGCCAGGAGAAGAGGCCGGCACAGCTAAAATATGCTATGACCATTGCCAGGAGGTACTGATGTAGAGAAAGGAAGAGAGAGAGGGAGAGGTCACATCTTGGAAGAGGAAGATCATGGAGATGAGGGACTGGGGGACTGGGGAGGGGTTGCCCGTCAGAGAAGGGACCTCAGCGTTGGGGTGACTGTGCTTATTTGGAAATTGTGGGGTTGAGGGGTATTGCAAATCCAAGAAGCTAGAGGAAGGGATGTTGGTGGTGCTCCCAGGATGGTGAACTCTGATGGGATCTTTGAAGGGAATATGTCCAGGTCGCCTGGTGTCAGTAGGGTCTTTGCGTGCCAGGCAGAGAACTGTCCCAAAGAGCTGAGAGTAGAGGGGCCAGGAGCTTCAGGGCTGCAGCTAGACTGTGGCCCAAGGCTCAGATCCCAAAGGACCTGTAGGAGAGGCAAGAGCCACTCATTCACTATGCAAGAGACCAGCAGAGTCCCCAGGGAGATGCTGACAAATCATAAAAAGACTGAGAATAGCCAGGAGTAATGGCTCAAGCCTGTGACCCCAGTACTTTGAGAGGCCAAGACAGGAGGATCATGTGAGCCCCACAGTTCAAGAACAACCTGGGCAACATAGTGAGATCCTGTTTCTACAAAAATTGGTCAAGCATGGTGGCATGTGCCTGTAGTCCTAGCTACTCAGGAGGCTTTGGCAGGAGGATTGCTTGAGCTCAGGAATTAGAGGCTGCAGTGAGCTATGATCATGCCACTGCACTCTATCCTGGGGAGCAGAGCTAGACTGTGCCTCAAAAAAAAAAAAAAAGGTGGGCACCAAGACTCAGGACCATGGGAGCTAGCCTGGCACAGTGGCTCATGTCTATAATCCCAGCACTTTGGGAGGCCAAGGTTGGCAGATCACCTGAGGTCAGGGGTTCAAGACCAGCCTGGCCAACATGGCAAAACCTGTCTCTATTAAAAACACAAAAATTAGCCAGGCGTGGTGGTGCACACCTGTAATCCCAGCTACTTGGGAGGCTGAGGCAGGAGAATTGCTTGAACCTGGGAGGTTGATGCTGCAGTGAGCCAAGATCATGATTCTGCCCCAGCCTGGGCAACAGAGTGAGACCCTGTCTCAGAAAACAAACAAACAAAAAACAAAAAAAGAACAAAAACCCTAAAGACTGGGAGCATCAGGTGGGAGATGGTGGAGGGAGAGAGGAGTGGAACTGTGCACGTGGAAGCTGCACCCTCCCTCAGGCTGTGTGTTGGAGCAGGAACACAGTTCCCTGGAGAACAACCTTACCTTGTCCGATACCCTCAGATCTTTGTCCCAGGCCAGGAATCTTTTAACAACAGGATCCTCTGTGATTAGAGAGCAGACGCTAGCATGAGAAGTGGAACAGAGTTTCTGGTGGGAGCAACAGGGCAGTAAGGAGAACTGTGCCTCCCTGGGGAAAGTCTCAGGATTGTGGCCACAGGTGAGGTGGATGGGATAGGAGAGAATCACTTTCACTAGGTAAGGGAGAGAGGCTCCTGCTCTGAGACTGCCCTGAGAAGAGGCTGAAGGAGGCCATGGGTGTGTGAATCTACAGGATGTAGAGCTGGGAAGAAGCCAGGATGCCCTCCCCGCAGACATGCAGGGACTGTAGAGTCATAAAGTCATTCCCATCATTTTCTCATGAGGCAGTCACATCAGAGTGTGACCATGGCCTTGTTATCCCCCTCTACGAATGGAGACAGTTAGGGTTAGAAAAGTCAGCATGAGGCCGGGCGTGGTGACTCACATCAATAATTCCAGCACTTTGGGAGGCCAAGGTGGGTGGATCACAAGGTCAGGAGTTCGAGACCAGCCTGGCCAACATGGTGAAACCCCTTCTCTACTAAGGATACAAAAAATTAGCCAAGGGTGGTGTCATGTGCCTGTAATTCCAGCTACTCAGGAGGCTGAGGCAGTAGAATTATTGAACCCGGGAGGCAGAGGTTGCAGTGAATCGAGATTGTGCTAGGCACTCCAGCCTGGGCGACAGAGCAAGACTCTGCCTCGAAAGAAAAAAAAAGTCAGGAAGAGACATTAAGTTTCAGAAGGCACAGCTGAAACTGCTTTCTTAGTTTTCTGATTTTGTTTTTCTTTATTTTATTTCTATTTATTTATTTGTTTGTTTATTTATTTATTTATTGGAGACAGAGTCTTGTTCTGTCACCGAGGCTGAAAAGCAGTGGCACAATTTCAGCTCACTGCAACCTCTGCCTCCCGGGTTCAAACGATTCTCCTGTCTCAGCCTCCGGAATAGCTGGGATTATAGACATGTGTCACCACGACTGGCTAATTTTTATATTTTTAGGAGAGACAGGGTTTTGCTATATTGGTCAGGCTGGTCTCAAACTCCTGACTTCAGGTGATCCACCTGCCTCAGCCTCCCAAAGTGCTGGGATTACAGGCATGAGCTACTGTGCCCGGCCTTTGTTTTTCTTTGGAGACAGGGTTCTGCTCTGTCACCCAACCTGGAGGGCAGTGGTCATAACTCACTACCACCACAAAATCCTGAGTTCAAACGATCCTCTTGCCTCAGCATCCTAATGTGCTGGGATCTCAGGCATGAGCCACTGCAACTGGCCTGAAACCCAGCTTTCTTATCCCAATCACAGACCTTTACCAAGTCCAGCCAAATCCTCAATTGCCTCCTAAACGTTCCTCCTGAGTGATCACTTCTCAGTCCTCCCAAATGGAGAGCTCACCCACTGGGGTTGGTGGGGGCGGGGGGGGGGGCGGCATATTTCTCCCATGGGAAAAGTATGGTTATGGGAAGTTTCCTCCTTTTTAAAAGAACGGGATTGGAGGTGCTCTCTGGGGTGTCCTGTTGAAGCAGCCTGTTGAAGGCCCCGTGGTGTTCAGGGAGCATGGGCGACACTTGCCGTTGCTTCAGCTTCATCTTGAGCCAGTGGAGCGACTCCACCACCCAGGTGTCCTCAGGCTCAGGGGCTCGTGACTTCTCTGGCTCTTCCTCTGGCTCCTCCTCAGATTGGTCTGACCACTCCCTCGTCCTTTTCCAATAAAAGAACCTATGTGGGGGGCTGAGATCTACCCAAGGGGCTGAGTAAAGAAACCAGGCCATCGTGTAATGCTTCTACAATTGATCACCTTAGACCCCAATGCAAAACCCCAAATCACTCTCCATCCTCCCCAGCCTCGCAGGCTGTCGGCTTCTGCATCTGTCTGTCTTTCTCCTTTGCTGAACCCAATGTGCCTCTCCTTCTCCTCCCCATTCTTCCATCACTCTGTCCTCAGAAAGTGTCCTCATTTCCTCATTTCCTTCCCTGGTCCCTGGCTCTATGTGTCCCCCACTTCCCCCAGCCTTTTCTTTTTTAACAGAATCTTGCTTTGTCGCCCAGGCTGGAGTGTAGTGGTACGATCTTGCTCACTGCAACCTCTGTCTCCTGGGTTCCAGTGATTCTCCTGCCTCAGCCTCCCAAGTAGCTGGGATTATAGGTGCCTGCCATAATGCCCAGCTAATTTTTGTATTTTTCGTAGAGATGAGTGTTTCACCATGTTGGCCAGGCTGGTTTCAAACTCCTGATCTCAAGTGATCTGCCTGCTTCGGTCTCTCAAAGTGCTGGGATTATGGGTGTGAGCCATTGCACCTGGCCTGAGTCCCTCCTTTCTTTCCACACACCCTCCTCAAGTGCTCCTTTTTTTTTTTTTTTTTTTTTTTGAGACAGAGTCTCTCTCACCCAGACTGGAGTGCAGTGGCATGATCTTGGCTTACTGCAACCTTCACCTCCCAGGCTCAAGTGATTCTCCTGCCTCAGTCTCCCGAGTAGTTGAGATTATAGGCATGCACCACTACTGCCCAGCTAATTTTGTATTTTTAGTAGAGATAGGGTTTCACCATGTTGGGCAGGCTGATCTCAAACTCCTGACCTTGAGAGATTTGCCTGCCTTGGCCTCCCAAAATTCTGGGATTAGAGGCGTGAATCACTGTGCCCAGCCCCCTTCTTTCTTCTTAGTCAATCCTCTCCCATCTCTTCTTCCTCTAGTCCCCTCACCTGATGGTCCTGGCACTTCATCATCCACCATCTCTGGGAGGGAGTACCCCGAGGTGCTAGGCTGGGGGCTCTGATACTCAACCTGGGGATGTGATTGACAGCTGGCCATGATTTCTCCCAAACTCTGTTCCCTCCCACAGAACCTAGTCCCTGTTCTGTTCAAAGCCTTCTTCCAGACTCTATAGGACCCAGAAGAGTGTGTTCTCTCTTCTCAAGTCTGGGAAGAAGTCAGGAGTGGAGAACAGCTCTGAGAAGTTGCTGTTATCCACCTGAGCTCTTGAGTACCCATGGAATCCTGTCCTTATAATCAGGGAGGTTGGAATCTCTAATGTCATTGGTCGTTCCAACCTGGCAACTAGTTTGAAGAAAAACACCAGTGTAAACAGGCTGGTCTCCTGTCCTGGAGATCTGGGGGGTAAGCAGAAATGATGAAACCTTACAAGAGTGAGATTAGGATGTACAAGAGATCCCAGGTACATTGACTTGATGAAAAAGTTACCTCAGGCCGGGCGCAGTGGCTCAAGCCTGTAATCCCAGCACTTTGGGAGGCCGAGGCGGGTGGATCACGAGGTCCAGAGATCGAGACCATCCTGGTCAACATGATGAAACCCCGTCTCTACTAAAAATACAAAAAATTAGCTGGGCATGGTAGCGCATGCCTGTAATCCCAGCTACTCAGGAGGCTGAGGCAGGAGAATTGCCTGATCCCAGGAGGCGGAGGTTGCGGTGAGCCGAGATTGCGCCATTGCACTCCAGCCTGGGTAAGAAGAGCAAAACTCCATCTCAAAAAAAAAAAAAAGTTACCTCAAAGCACTCAATTTGGCAAAGCTTTTTTGCTGAATGTTACTGACACACACTGTCCAAGATTCTATACTGGGGTACATGAGTCCTCTGCCCTAAGGCATCTTTGAGTCCAAGAGACATTTTGAGGACTGAAAATCATAGGAAACTGTCCATGAGCTCACACATATTTCCAATGGTGTCCCTAGTTTCAGGAGTCCATGGGTCACCTAAAGCCAGCCCCTCCAGTTCAGCTAAGAAACTCTAGTCTATATATCAAGTTTTGCATCATATGTATTGCTCTTAACTCAGAAATTTCCCTACCATTTATGTATTCTTTAATAAAACATCACATGTACAAAAAGACTAAATTAAAAAATCTCAGCTGTGCACAGTGGCTCATGCTTGTAATCCCAGCACTTTGGGTGGCCAAGGGAAGAAGATTGCTTGGGGCCAGGAGTTCAAGACCAGTGTGGGCAACATAGCAAGATCCCATCTCTAACCCAAACCAATCCAAATTAGGCAGGTGTGGTGGCTTGCACCTGTGTTCCAACTACTTGGGAGACTGAGGCAGAAGGATCACTTGAGCCCAGGAGTTAGAGGCTGCTGTAAGCTATGATTGTGCCACTGTACTCCAGCTTGTGCAACACAGTGAGACTTTGTGTCAAAAAATTTTTTTAATGAAAAATAAAACAGTTGCATGACATTCAGGGGCCATCCAAAGAGCCTGTGAGTTCCAGCTGGGCACAGTGGCTCATGCCTGTAATCCCAGCACTTTGGGAGGCCAAAGCAGGTGGATCACCTGAGGTCAGGAGTTTGAGGCCAGTCCAGTCAACATGGTGAAACCCCATCTTTACTAAAAATATAAAAAATTAGGCAGGCATGGTGCTGGGTGCCTGTAATCCCAGCTACTCAGGAGGCTGAGGCAGTAGAATCACTTGAACCTGGGAGGCAAAGGTTGCAGTGAGCCAAGGTCACACCACTGCACTCCAGCCTGGGCAACAAGAGTGAAACTGTCTCAAAACAAAAACAAAAACAAAAAAGAACTTGTGATTGAGTTCCCACACAACTTCCTAACGGGCTCTGATCTTCAAGGAGTCTCTCGCTCATGGGAACTACACAAACGGAATGAGGAAGCAGATCCCATTGCTGTGGAAGTCCTATTTTAGGGAACTCTGCTTTTCTGGAGTTAAAATTTGCATTCATGTTGCTTTCAACCGTCAGAGCTGGTTGGGTCCTTCTACAACAAAACAGTTTACTCTCTCTCTCCTAGTTAGCAGGCTTTCAAATATTAGATCAGTGTTCTGACCCCGTTAAAACTTCTCTTTTGTGGAATGGAAAGCTCTGATTTAACCCGCCTTTAAGGCTGGTTTGCATATTCCTCTCTCTTCTAGTCACCTTGTTTAGACACACTACACTGGGTAGTGCCCATCTTTTTTTTTTTTTTGAGACAGAGTTTTGTTCTGTTGCTCAGCCTGGAGCAGAGTGGCATGGTCCTGGCTCACTGCAACCTCCACCTCTTGGGTTCAAGTAATTCTCCTGTCTCAGCTTCTTGAGTAGCTGGGATTACGGGCACATGGCACCACACCCGGCTAAATTTTATATTTTTAGTAGAGACGGGATTTCACTATGTTGGTCACGCTGGTCTTGAACGCCTGATCTTGTGATCCACCCCCCTCAGCCTCCCAAAGTGCTGGGATTACAGGCGTGAGCCACCATACCCAGCTGGCCATGCCTATATATATATAAGCTGGGCATGGGGTTATGTGTAATCCTAGCTACTTGGGAGGCTGAGGCAGGAGAATTGCTTGAACCTTGCAGGTGGAGGTTGTGCTGAGTCGAGATCACGTGACTGCACTATAGTCTGGGCGACAGAGCGACACTCCGTCTCAAAAAAGAAAAATACAAAAAAATTTGAAACAGCCCAGGTTTGGTCTGATATGTTCAGAAAAAAGCAAAACACTCACCTCTCGCCTTTGCTTTTCCCACAATGATGCAGTTTAATACAACAATGGCTATAGGTACGCTGCAGAAATATCATTCAGGTGAAACAGAAGGGCTTTCCTGGCCGGACACAGTGGCTCATGCCTGTAATCTCAACACTTTGGTTGTCTGAGGAGGGAGGATTTCTTGAGGTCAGAAGTTTGAGGCTGTAGTGAGCTGTGATCCCACCATCATATTCCAGGTGGGGCATCAGAGTGAGGCCTGTCTCTAAAACAACCCTTCACCCCAGGAAAAAAGGGATTTGCAAATACCAGCTTTTCAGCGTAAGGATCACATGGAGAAACATTAAGATACAGATGCTGAGATCCAGCCCCACTGATTCTAATTCAAAAAACTGAGGTGGGGCCTGATTTAACTTCGGCATTGGAATCCATTAAGATTTAGAACTCTCTGGGATGGAGAGTGCAAGAGAGATCCTAAAGAAAGCAAAATCACCGTGGACTGAAATGAGCAGAGAAGGTTTTCTGAGAGTGGTGGAATATGATCTGGGCCTCACGGGGGAGGGCTGTGGCCAGGCCTTGAGTCTTTGGCTCCCTGGGACTTCTGAAACAGCCTCCAAGCCACGCCCCCGCTTCCTTTGCTAGTGGATGATCCTCCCTCCAGCGGCCTTGGTGCTGATGGAAATAAGTCAACCGGCAGGGGAAGCTCAGCCCAGCAGCCTCCCACACCTGGCCGGCAGCTGCTCATTTTGCGGTCGCTGCAGTTCTCTGCAGAGTCATGGCTTCTGTACCTTGAAGAAAACTTCCCCTTCTGGGACCCAGGCAGCCAGTGAACCCTTAGGAAAAAGGGAATGAAATTATAGAAGAAAACTCCGTGATGGGGAGATGGAGAAGAGGCTCTTTGTTTTTATTATTTATTTATTTATTCATTTTTTTGAGACGGAGTTTCACTCTTGTTGCCCAGGCTGGAGTACAGTGGCATGATATCGGCTCACTGCAACCTCCACCTCCAGGGTTCAAGCGATTCTCCTGACTCAGCCTCCTGCGTAGCTCGGATTACAGGCATGTGCCACATGCCCAGCTAATTTTTGTATTTTTAGTAGAGACAGGGTTTCAGCATGTTGGCCAGGATAAAATTTTTGTATTTTTATAGTAGAGGTGGAGTTTTGTTATGTTGTCCATCCTGGTCTTGAACACCTGACTTCTAATGATCCACCTGTCTTTGCCTCACAAAGTGCTGGGATTACTTACAGGATTACTTACTACCTCACCCTGCCTGCTTTTTTTTTTTTTTTTTTTTTAACGAGATGGGGTTTCATCATGTTGGTCAGACTAATCTTGAACTCCTGACCTCAGGTGGTCCACCCGCCTCGGCCTCCCAAAGTACTGGGATTACAGGCGTGAGCCACCACACCTGCCCTGTTTTTGTTTTTTAAAGACAAGGTCTCTGTTGCCCTGGCTGGGATGCAGTGTACAATCAGCTCTCTGTCACCTCCTGGGTTCAAGCAGTCCTCTCCTCTCAGCCTCCTGAGTAGCTGAGACTACAGGTGCATGCCTGTAGTAGATAGAGCGTCTTGCTGTGTGGCCCAGGCTGGTCTCAAACTCCTGGTCTCAAGCCAGGATGCTCTTGATCTCCTGACCTCGTGATCTGTCTGCCTCAGCCTCCCAAAGTGCTGGGATTACAGGCATGAGCCACTGAGCCTGGCCAGATAAAATGATCTTTATGGGCCCTTCCCATGGTAACATGTTCAAGGCAGCGAGATAGTGGCTGTAGCAAATTTCACATAACCGGGTCTGCTGGTATTATGGGCTGCATGGTGTGCCCCAACCCCAGGTTCATGTATGGAAGCCCTGAGCCCCAGGACCTCACAGGTAACCTTATTGGATCCAGAGTTTTTACAGAGGTGATCAAGTTAAAATGAGGTCACTAGGGGCTGGGTGTGGTGACTCACACCTGTAATCCCAGCACTTTGGGAGGCCGAGGCAGACAGATCATCTGAGGCCAGGAGTTCGAGACCAGACTAGGCAGTGTGGTGAAAACCCATCTCTACTAAAACTACAAAAATAATAGGGCATGGCAGTGCATGCCTGTAATCCCAGTTACTTGGGAGGCTGAGCCATGAGAATTGCTTAAACCTGGGAGGCAGAGGTTGTAGTAAACTAAGATTGCATCACCGCACTCCAGCCTGGGCGACAGAGTCAGACTCCATCTCAAAAAAAAAAAAAAAAAGGTTCAGAGCACTAGAAAACAGTTTAGTGGCTGGGCACAGTGGTTCATGCCTGTAATCCCAGCACTTTGGGAGGATGAGGCAGGCGGATCATGAGGTCAAGAGATTGAGACCATCCTGGACAATATGGTGAAACTGTCTACTAAAAATACAAAAATTAGTGGGTGTGATGGTGTGTGCCTTGTAGTCCCAGCTATTTGGGAGAATGAGGCAGGAGAATCACTTGGACCTGGGAAGTGGAGGTTGCAGTGAGCAGAGATTGCACCACCATACTCCAGCCTGGTGACAGAGCGAGACTCCGTCTCAAACAACAAGAAAAAAAAAGAAAGAAAGAAAAGAAAACAGTTTGCTGATTCCTCAAAAAGTTAAACCCAGAATTACTATATGATTCAGCAATTCCAGTTCTGGGCATACACACCAAAGGAGATAAAAACAGATACTCAAATACTTGTATACAAATACTCAAAGCACGTTATTCATAGCGGCCAAAAGGTAGAGAAAACCATCCATCAACAA